GAACTGATGCTGTTGCAACCAACCATAAATGCCACTCAAGCCGAGAAACGCACACACTCTCACTCGCACACACAAACAGGCAGTGCTGTGTGACTCTTTGCCCTCACTGTATCCGAATGCTTTCAGTCAAATCACTCAAGACCCTTTTTAGCTCTTCAGGAGATGGAAATGCTCCGTCTAAGAAAATGCAGCCGTTCCCTGAGCCTCCCGAAAGCTCTTAGCAGGGCTGCGTTCATGCACTCACAAGAAGAGCAAGAAATAAACAAGCATGAAACATTTGTTCACACACTCAGAGAATGCATGTTAATGTTTTATGTTTTAGGATATTTATAATGTTGTGATGTTTTTGAAAAAGACATTAAGGCTGCATTTATTTGATCAGAAATAAAATTGTGAAATTTTGTAATTTCAAACTGTTTTGTATTGTAATATATTGTAAAATATAATTTATTTCTGAGATGCACAGCTGTATTTTCAGCATCATTCCTCCAGTCTTCAGTGTCACATGATCTTCAGAAATCAGTATAATATGCTGATCTGCTGCTCCAGAAACATTTCTGATTATTATCAATGTTGAAAACAGTTGTGCTGCACAATATTTTTGTGGAAACCGTGTTGCATTTTATTTTTCAGGATTTTTTGAGTAATAGAAAGTTCAAAAGAACAGCATTTATTTGTAATATAAATATTTTGTAACATTAGAAATGTCTTTACTGTCACTTTTGATCAATTTAATGCGTCCTTGATGAAAAAACTATTAACTAAGAAATGTTTTGTCATCTTACCCAAAACTTTTGACAATAATATCATTATTAGTAATTAGGGCTAATCACCATAATTTTTTTTCATATCAGTCGATATCGATAATGATCACGATAAATATCAAATCTTTATTTCTTTCAAGTTTAAAGCCAGATTTTTGCTCCAAAGTGAAAGTTGTATAAACAAGACCATTTATTTTCCTGAATGGAAAAATGCATTTCTTAGCTTCTGCATGTTCTAATGAGTGATATTGTTTCAAACCAAGAAACAGGTTTGGGTTGCCTGATAATATTAATAATATTATCACTTTTTTTGTCTCTTAGAAATGCACATTTGATAGTAGCTTGAGCTAGGATGCAGAGGTAAATATTTGTTAATTATCAAAATCAGTAACATCTGTAAAAATTGTAGCAACCTCAGTTTTATATGGTTACATTTATTCTGACCAAGGTTTATTTATTTATTTTTATTTTTTTTTAATTAAGCATTGGTCTCCTATAGTAGCATACATTTAAATCATGATAAACACAGTTAAAACCACTCATATAGCACCTCAATAACATGGTAAAAATATAACTCTGAAAAACAGTAGTCTAAAAACATTCAGTATAAATGCACACGTGTTGTAGCTTAATCAAATACATACTAAAATTATAAACCATTACTCCTGTAATAAAATTCAGTGTGAATATCCCACATTTCTGCCACAATACCATGGTGCAGTGAGTGTTACTACAGTAAATCCATGGTGAATGATGGCGACGTGTAGATTGAAAAGCCTTCTGACTGTCTCGTTGCACACAGTGTTTCTCCTGTTTGGCTTTAAACTAGTTTATATCACCATTTGTGTTCATCTTTTTGAACACATTTGAGTCATTTGTGTTCATCGCTGAGTTCAAGCGCTTCACACTGGATCTCACAGCGCTGCTTAGTGCATAAACATTATATTGAACATTTATCAAAGTCTTCATATTGTTTTATCGAGGAAAATTATATCGCGATAATTACCGTTATCCAATTATCGCCCAGCCCTATTGATAATAATCAGAAATGTTTCTGGAGCAGCAGATCAGCATATTATACTGATTTCTGAAGATCGTGAGACACTGAAGACTGGAGGAATGATGCTGAAAATACAGCTGCGCATCACAGAAATACATTACACTTTAACAGAGATTCACAGAGAAAACTGCTGTTTTAAATTGTAATAATATTTCACATTTTTTTACTGTATTTGTGATCAAATTAATTCCACCTTAGGGAGCAAAAATGCAATTATTCTAAACTTTTGTCCAAATATGCACATCATTTCCACGTTAGAAGATATTTAAATAAAGTACTAATAAGTTACATTTATATTAATACGTTTTATATATAAATATACATATCCATACATAACATTTGTTGTTGAAGCTTCATGTGTTGATGTTGTGTCTGTTTGCAGTAACTTGAAATCAAATATATGGATTATGCTTTATGTGCAAATACCCATGAGATCATGTTCCCGTGGCAAAATGATTGATTTGGGATCTGATAATGAGAATATGGCAGAACATTATTTAAAAAAACAAGCTCATCGGGTGTGAACATACTGACTTATAGTGCTTCACATATACTTTTATTTGAGTTTCTTCATCTCTGCTTGCGTGTCTTTTCACGTTCCCTGCCGCAGATGAAATAAAGCGAACGCAGACAGAGCTGCTGAACGTCTCTGTGCGGATTGATTTATTTAAGGGTCAGAGAGGAGCGCGGCGCTTCTTCATCAGTGACAGCTTATAAAGTGAAGTTAATCTGCACCTCGGCGTGTTGAAGGATCGACGGCGGCGCCGCTGCTCACGCCACCTTTGAATCTGTTTGTGAAATTGATTTTCTTTAGGCAAGTGTAATGGAGCAGCTTTCTACCTTATCAATTTTTAACATGTAAGAAAAGAGCTTAAAGAGAGCTGATGAAGTGCTCGATCTTTGTCTGTCAGGACCTTCTCATTACACAGATCACCTGGTCTTTCACTCCTCACATCTCCGCCGTTCAGTGTTTGTTATCCTGCGCTTCCCTCTGAGACTCCAAATCAGGTTTAGTTCTCCTGGTCAGTGTTATTTTAGTGTTATTTATATACCTTTATAGTATTTATTATTGTTTTGAAATGGCTTTATTTTTCTATTTAAAAAATAAATTTTACAATATTATTGCTTCCTTGATACATTGCATCAAATAAATTGAGCCTTGGTGAGCAAAAGAGACTGCTGTCAAAAAAAACAAAAACAAATATATATATATATATATTTATTTATTTATTTATTTATTTGCCAGTTGTTTACACATATTTCAGGTTAGAACATATGTAAATGTATTAATAAGTGAAATGTATTAATTGTAATATTCAGTGATATATTAGTATTATTTATATACCGATGTAGTATTTATTAACATTTTGAATTAGCTTTTATTTTTATATCATTAGTTGATTTGATCTTTTATATCATTCGTTTATCGTTATGTGCTTTTGTCATTTATATATATTTTTTAAATATTTCTATTTAGCTTTTTATTTTATTTTAGTTTTCAGAATTTTAGTTCCTTTTTCCTTTTTTTCAGTCAGTTGCCAAAGCAATATGTCTAATTTTAATTTAATTTTTTTATTTACTTATGGGTTTGTCTTTGTTTTTTTTTATTGTTTTTTTTTTATTTTAATGTTTTTAGTTAAATATAACAAGTGCTTTTGGCACTTTTATTATTTTTTTATTGTTTCTATTTAGCTTTCATTTATGTTTATTATAGTTTTAGTACATTTTAATTAAGCTTAATTTTTAAAAGTCATTTGACATGTCTAATTTTAATTTAATTTTTTTATTTACTTATGGGTTTGTCTTTGTTTTTTTTTTATTGTTTTTTTTTTATTTTAATGTTTTTAGTTAAATATAACAAGTGCTTTTGGCACTTTTATTATTTTTTTATTGTTTCTATTTAGCTTTCATTTATGTTTATTATAGTTTTAGTACATTTTAATTAAGCTTAATTTTTAAAAGTCATTTGAAGTACTTGTATATTTTCACTGAATATATGCAGTGTATATATTTGTATATATATATATATATATATATATATATATATGTTTGTTTGTTTGTTTGTTTGTTTTTTTGCAAGAAACTTATTATTTAAAACAATTTCATTATGCTGTACATTGTAAAATTAATGATTTTTTTGTTCTAAATGATACAAAGATTATAGGATGTTTTACAAGAAAAATCTCTATTTCAAATTTATTTGTTTCATAGATTTTTTTAAATAAATTCTACTTGATATGTATGTATATGTATATTTATCTTACTTACTATATATATATATATATTATGCTGCAATTAGCATTTCATGCTTAATTTAATGTGCTGTTTCTTTGTTTTTTTTTTTGGTGAAATTTCCTAGCAATTACCGAGCGAACATTATTACCCATTTTTTAAAAAGTAAGTCCTACTCCAAATGTTTAGGTCAGTATTTTTTAGAAGGGCCTTTAACAGCATGAACTTAGTGCTGGGCGGTATACCGGTTCATACCGAATACCGGTGTTTATTTTTGTTATGATATGAATTTTTAAAATACAGCAATACCGGTGTATGTCGCTTAAACAACGTTGGGAACGCGACACTGTTTGAAAGAAGTCCCTTTTCACTGTTGCACTGTGGCGAGGGAACAGCTGTATGTGTTACTAAGCGTGAAAGCTCCGAAACTGAAGCTGTAGAACTAATAGAACGTGATGACACAGAAGAACTCATCCACAATATCCACAAATATCCACCGCCCCCTGCCTTCAGCTCCCACGTCTCACACACACACAAGCGCGACTTTAGCACTAGATTTAGCAACTTTCAGACCCTTTTAGTGGCTTTCTTCCAGAGAATATTCATACTGACAAACCTAGCGACTTTTTTGGATAAAGCTTAGCTATGGTTCAGAATTTTGAAAAATACCATGATATAAATTGTTGGCCATACCGCCCAGCACTACATGAAATGGAGTTCAGGACATTTACTATATGCGTTCGAGAGCCAATCGGGCTGCAAAACTGAGCGCCTGTGACCAAAGATGGCAGATTTCAATTTTCTGGTTGGTTATGCTAGATTAAATTAGCTTGGTCTTGTGTGCTCTGGGGGAAATGGCAGTGGTTTGGGAACACAGAGTCACTGCGGTGCATTTTATTGATGCATTACTGTAGAGATGAAGCCTCCGCGTGAGGCTAGCTAACATGATTACATCTGAGTTGTTGATGGATTACTCTGCGTTCTTCACCGTGTGTTTCTCTCTACGAGCCGTACTTGAGCGCATCGTTCCATTCGTCGACTGTGAAGAGCGTAAATCAGCTCTGCTTTCTCACACTCCTCTTGTCGTTTGATTGGTTCTGTATGTTGTTTCTGGGATAAGAACACAAGCTGTATTCTGATACGAACGCATGCAGGAGAAACCGCAGAACCGGGCCTGTTCCCATGGCAACAGTGTGGCCGGGTTGGATTGTGCTTACCGTTAACAGCGGAAGCCCGGCGTACGGGTTCCCATGAGGCTTTGCCTGAAAGTGGGGCCGTCCCTCCCATCAGGCACTGCATCAAGCCAAATCCCCTCAGCTCAGAGCGCGATCTTTCACTCAGAATGAACTCTCGACGACCGGCATCCGGCGCCGCAGACAGGGTAAAGCTTTTATCTCCAAAACCGCAAACACGCACAGTAAACAATGGCTTACAGCCGGATTTCAGGAGCGTTTTCAGTGTTCAGTGTGTGTGTGAGAGAGAAACCCCTGATTTAGATTCTGTGCATGCTCTTGAAATACAACACATGCAGTTACAGTAAAAGAGTGCAGGAGTTTCCGTTACAGATCAGTAGTGTCTGAGGTTAAAGATCAAATAAATCATGCATCATCTCCTCTTACACACTTATCTGAGAAAATTCACACACACTTACATCAGTCTTAAATATGAGTTACTTGTCTAATAGATAAGTGAAATATAAAGTCAGTTCACAGGAGTTTTACGCAAAAAAATGGATTGAAATGTTGGATTTACTTAGATTTCTTTTTTCACTCAGAACTTGCACAAATAATTACAAAGAAATGGCACTGAATTAAACATTAAAGTTTGAAGTAGAAACCTGAAATACTTATTGCTATTTTTTTAAGTGTTTTATTTAAAGTGTTATTTTAGTATCGTTAAGATGCTATTATAGTTTTATTTTTACATTTTTTATGTCTGTACAGAATTTTTACATTTAATTTTCATTATTTATTAATTTTTATTAAACTTAATGAAAATGAGAAATGTTGCCTTGTCAACTAGCTGAAATAAAATAAGGTAATTTGTAGTTTCTATTTTATTTTATTTCAGTTAAAATTGATTGGATTCCAAGTGTATGTATATATATATATATATATA